CTTGCCATCTTGTGACGGGAGTCTTGAAGTCGTTGTGGCATTCACACTACGTGACTGATTGGTGACAGGAGGTCACACACTACACAAGCTGACAGCGGCTGTGTCACCCAACGCTGGTCTCCAAACCACATTTTGTCAAGAAAACAATGAAAATGTGAAACGGGAAATGACACTAATCTACACATAAAACAGCTATTGTTTGTTATTATAAAGATACCAATTATAAACAAAGAATCTGGGTGAAAGAATGGATTAGCACACGCAGGTAGCAGGGATTGTCTGAGCTACAGAGAGAGCTGGAGGTGAATAAAACATGTTTTGCGGTGAAAAGTAGCTGCCTGCTCTCAGTGGCTGGATGTGGATGTCAAGTCTGCTGACTCTTCCAGACATATGGCATGCTAGGTATCTGGCAGGGTGACACGGTGTTTCAGTGGTTAGCACGAAGGTCGTCGGTTCAAACCCCGGATGCGCCGGCCTTTCTGTGTGGAGTTTGCATGCTCTGTATTTCTATGTTCTCTCTGGGTGCTCCTGCTTCCTCCCACACATGCAGGCTAATTGGTCTCCAAAATTGTAAATAGGTGTAGATGTGTGTGAGACTGGTTGTTTGTCTATGTGTGGCCCTGCGGACTGGCGACCCCGCCTTTCTCCCAATGTCAGCTGGGACTGGCTCCATCTTGTACGCAGAATGTGTCGTTGTGTAGTTCACACATAACGACTGGCAACGGCAGATTGACTGCTGATTTACCCCCGATCACAGCCAGAGCGGCAAATCAGGCCATGAACTAGGAAGTAAACAGGGAACTGTACCTCACTAATGTCTTATTGATCATGGATTGTCCTTCATTTGGTAAGGTCTATATTTATCCCCCCCAAAATTGCAACCATTTAGGATCCTTCAATATACAGTATTCCTTGGTCTACTTTGCTTACTGCATACTGTAATGTGCTTAACCTGTTTGTTTCCAGACATGTCAAACAAAAGAGAATGGGAGCCATCTTTAATGCTCTGTATTTGTATAGCGCCTTTCTAGTCTTTTTGACCGCTCAAAACGCTTTTACACTACATCTGCATTCACACACATTCTTACACTGAGCCTAAGTGCTCAAACAGAAACTAACATTCACACACATTCATACACTGGCGGAACAGCCGCCAGGCAATTCGGGGTATCTTGCCCGGGATTGAACATCCGACCTTCCGATTAACAACCCGCTCTACCTCCTGAGCCACAGCTGCCCCAATAAATTTAAAAGGGGAGTATTAAGGTGATATAAAACTTGCCATTGAAGTAGATACTCTTCCTGTGCTATCACTTTGTGTCACATCTGTTTCTTTCTAAAATCTATTTTCATGTTCATATTTTATGTCTACATGAATGCTTTCAAAAGGAATAATGTGTTAAGGTTGCAGCTTTTGACAATTCACTTGCAGAACAGTTGCTCAACAAACTGCAGGCTCTAAGGCTCTACATAAGAAAGGAGGAGCATGTATTTTATCAATGCTTAAAATGTTATGTATTCCAATAATTTATGTGCAATTTCTTATCTGCCCCATCTCTGGTTAAGTACATTGCTACATTTAGACATCTAAAACTACTTCGTTATGGTGAAAGTCCTGAGCGACAAAATACCTCATTTGTACATGTCCCCTAGAAATGCACATAGAATTGTAGTCAGATCAGAAAACACAACACTGTTAAGAAATTAATCTATTTTATGATAACACTTTGATGTTAGGTTTAGTCACAAAAACTAAAAACTTTTTTTTCCTTGGACCACATTGATAGGTACTGACACCTGCAGACTGGGAACACCCCAAAGAGCTGCAGTTTTGGAGATGCTCTGACCCAGTTGTCTAGCCATAACAATTTGGCCCTTGTCAAGGTCTCTCAAATCCATATACTTACCCATTTTTCCTGCTTCTAACACATCAACTATGAGGACACAATGTTCCCTTGCTGCCTAATATAGCCCCCTACTGACAGGTGCCATGGTAACGACATAATCAGTGTTATTCACTCTACCTGTCAGTGATCATAATGTTATGGCTGATCGGTGTAGGTTGAAAACGAACAGTTAAAGTCTAATGTTTGTCCACAAATGACCATTGTGGCCCAATAAAAATGTCACCTGACTTCCTCTTTTGCTCATGTCATATTTACACTAGAAGGCACCTCCACTTGAGCATAAACAGTTTTGGGCCACTTTCTAAAGCAACTGATGCTGTCATTCTTCTTTGGAGGACAGTCTCTAAATTCCAACACATGCCAGTTGAACCTTTGCCGATTTCAGCTTGCTTCAGTTAAGTACAACGTGAGCCAGAAAAGCTGACTTCCGGGATCAGGAATTTCCACAACTGTAGCAACTAGAAGCACTTTGTAAATGCTGTCAAACTAGTTTGCCAAACACTCCCAACTAAAGGTCAACTCACTAGCCTTTTCTGCTGCTTTCTAACTAAATGACTAAAAACTAAGGCTGCAGCTGTTAAGTAAAAAAAAATTCCTTTCCTAACCACTTTTCCTTGACCTCGACAGATACAAACGATACAAGGTCAAGGAAAGATAGGAAGGAGGATTCATAAGAACTTAAGAAAAGAATCAGAGAATCTGACTGCACTTACTCTAGACTATGTAATGTTATTGAAGTGGCCTGCAGTGGTGAAACTACAATGTTCTGAAGATGGACTACAAAAAAAATGGATCTTTGACACTTCGCCTTGTGCTCTCTTACTCTGGACAACATGGTGGAAAATATTACTTCATTACCAAAAGCAAAAAGGCATATATTGTACTAGGGCTGACAAATTAATCGTTTTCAATTCGAAACTGCAATTTGAAAAACGCGATTAGCTAATCGTGAAGAGGGCGATTAAAATGTATGTTAATTATCCAGCGTATCTGTCCCGTTTTAAACAGTCATGCAGTTACAAATTTATTCCGTTGTCATCCTTGTGTGACAGACCTCCTCGCCAATCACATGCGCCATGCTTTAACTGTTACGGTCCTACTCACCAGTCAAAGCAGAGCTGAACCGACACAGGCAGGGCTGTGCCGCGGATTTGTCCGCCATCAAGTCACACTGAAGTGTTTCAGCAGCAGAGCGTTTAGCCTGCCCTACGTTGTTGACGTGCTGTTAATTTCTCATTTTGTGTGCTTCAACTACGGATAACAGCTCTCTGTGAGCCGGTTCCATTCCGCTCTGTGCAGGTTACGTATCCAACATGGAGCATTTCAGAATAAGAGCATTTTGCCTGCCTGATTTTGCTGACTTGTTTTGTTCAGTTGTCCTAGGCTACGTAGTTAAATTATTTCTTTTTTGTCTGTTTTAACTGTGTTTATTGTTGATATATGATCAGGAGTCAGCACAGGGTGTTTTATTTTGAAAATCTACCGGATTTTCCATGCCGTTCTGTGTCTGACTTCCTGGCTGGTTCATCTGCTCTGTGCTGCTTGAAGCGGTCAAAAATAGACTGGCAAGGAATATCGAATTTAAGGTAAAAAAAAATCGAAATTTCCCATGCTTGCTCACACTCAGGGGCAGACTGGGACGGTCTGGGGGTCCTCCCCCAGAAGATTTTGAGCATTAAACACTTAATTTCCTGCATTCTGGAGACATTTTCTGCACCAATTTATGGAGTAAATGTCTTTATTTATATGAATGGCTTTTTTTTGTTGCTTAAGTAATTTTCTTGGACAATGCACATTTGTTTCTTCTATATTTAAATTGCATTGCATGTTTTCTTATTGTGCAAATAAACAAAGCATTTTCACTTGTGATTTAACATTTCTTGTTCCAAGCTATTTTTCAGAACATATTTTAACCAAATTCGCTTTCAAAAAGTGATGGGGACATGTCCCCAGCAACCATAGTGTAAATGACACCAATGGTAACAAATTTGTAACATTTTATGTATGTGACTGGCACACAATGCTCAATAGTTTTTTAAGAGTACACAACAAATTTGCACATGCAGTTAAAACAATGGCAACAATCTGTTTGTCTGCTGTTACTGTCTTTCTCTACAGCAGAGTCAATTACAACATTTTTATGTGACTGTTTTCTTCCTACCTCTACCACGCTCCCTGTCTCCGCTAGGCCTACAGTAGCATCCTTCCTCCCTGCACTAGCCTACAAGAAGACCAATGCAATGCCTTCTTTTCATTCACTATAACCCTTTCCTTATCAAATATGACTGGTTTTCATAGAAATAAAACATTGTCAGGTAATGTTATGCTTCTCAGATGGTTTTTATGGTTTCTGGAAGACCTTTCCAACATTGCTTTCACAAAGTTGGAGCTTTTATTATCCCAACCGATAAACATCTTAGAACACATTTTTCAAACATATTTACTTAGAACAATTAAGATACTTCACATTCACAAACATTAAAAAATAAATTTCCTAATTATTCTCTCTCTTTACTCTATTTACATATTCACATACAGTTAGGTCTATAAGTATTTGGACAAAGTAGTTTAATAATAGAAATCTTTTGCAGTCAATTACTGTGACTCATCATCTTCACCTGACTTATTATTATAATTTTATCAGCAATCTCTCTTCTAGGGACTTTAAACTTTAAATTCACACAGCACTTTACTTTGTCTACATCTGACTAGAACAGTTTTAAATTCAAAACAGCACTTTACGTTGTGTACATCTGACCAAGAACAGTGAACCTCAATAAAACAGTAGTGGGATACAATGAACATAAGAAGAAAAAAAACAGAAGTACTCCTAAAATTACTTCAGTCAAATGTTCTTTTTTTGGTTAATTATTAAGAGTCTCTTTCCATTCAGTGATGGTCAGTCCAGATGATGGACAGTACCACTTTCCCTTAATCTGTGTATGGCCAGTACTCTTACTTTTTGACTGACCACATGTTTTAAACTGGTATTGGTAGTCGACTTTGCACTGACGCTTCTTTGGTGGCTCCCTTCTTGCCAAACGCTCCTGGTCTTCAAGTGCTGCCTTTTGCTGTCTCCATTGTCGGTGTCGATTAAAGATGACTGAAGACTGATCTGATGGCGTATAGCTGAGTTGCGGTTGCGAGGACAAGGCAGGAGAAGTGGCAGGTGGCAGATGACCCTGCTGGTAAGAGGACCATACAGGAGGTGGGGCTGGTGGCGTATGACCCTGCTGGTAAGAGGACCATGCAGGAGGTGGGGCTGGTGGCGTATGACCCTGCTGGTAAGCAGACCAGGCAGGCGGTGGGGCTGGTGAGGTATGTTCCTGCTGGTAAGAGGACCAGGCAGGAGACGTGGTAGGTGTCATATGACCCTGCTGGTAAGAGGACCATACAGGAGGTGGGGCTGGTGGCGTATGACCCTGCTGGTAAGAGGACCATGCAGGAGGTGGGGCTGGTGGCGTATGACTCTGCTGGTAAGCAGACCAGGCAGGCGGTGGGGCTGGTGAGGTATGTTCCTGCTGGTAAGAGGAACAGGCAGGCGGTGGGGCTGGTGAAGTGTGTTCCTGCTGGTGTGAGGACGAAAAGGCAGAAGAAGCAGGCCATACATACTAGGATAGTGCTGTGCCAGTGCTGATCCACTTCTGAAGCTGTGGCGCGGGCTATCACTGCCTCACCTTCACGATTTTCTGTCTCCTGAAACTGTATTTTTGTATGTCCATGTTACACGGGTGCAGAAGGAAGTGCTGTTGCTTAGCGGCAGAGACCTTCTGGGGTAGCTGTACGCCTTGCAGCAACCTGGAAAAAGTACAAAACAAAATGTTTACCATTTCATAGAAGCACAATTGCAAAGGTTGTATCTAAATCAAATCCTTCCTGGTTAAATTGATTATGTACAAATAATGACATATATTTACACTTCTCAAATGCAGCTGTTAAAGTGAATGTAGGAAGCCAAAAAGATATCTCACCAAATAGACACTGTGGTGTTGTTTGATTGTAACTAGCACCAAGTTGGTCTGCTCCTGTATCATCGGATATCCTGAAAGGTTCTAGTGATGCGCAGAGTTATCCTCGGATCAGGTGGGTCTATGTTGTGCTGAAATGTTTGTCAGAGTTGGTGAATTATTAAAAAAACAAAACACCATCGATTTTTGGTTCAAATGCGTTACAATGTGCGTTGCTGAGATTGTAACGGCAGCGTTACGGGTGTGCAATGGGATGCGTTATATTACTGCATTACAGCAAAAAGCAATACGCTACTGTGATTGTGTTACAATTTAAATATGAATAGCCTACATTTGAGCATAAAAAATGAGAGAAGATTGACAGCCGTAGTACATACATTCAAGTGCTATTCAGTGAAAAGCAGGGCATAACACCCGGTTCGCAAGCGGAGCAGAGCCACAAAATGATGCAGAAAGTCATTAGTCTCATTACCTGGGATGATGTGCTGGGTCTACTAGAGGAATTGTCCTCAGCAGGTAGACTACTGGCTGGACTGACAGGACTGCAAGAGACACCGCTTACATCAAACCTGGTGTCCTGGGAATTTGTGAGAGAGAGACAGAGAGAGAGAAACAGTTATGAGAAACAATTATTATTTTGATTATTAAATTGCCTTTGTACAAAATGTATTGCAAAACAAATTGAGATCACAACACATCATTCATAGTATATATAAATTAACTTTTCCTGTAGAATTTCAATGACAGATGATCAGGAAATGGCCAGATTACCAGAGATGATGTGTTGGGAGAGTCGTTAGGTGGAAATGGATTCTGAGGCGGTACAATGTCAGCTGATCATCACACTGGGTAGCTTCAGGTGGGCTCTCAATGAGGATGTCAGCTGCATCACTTATTGTGACATCAAGACACTGCTCCTCCTGAACTTCTACCTGCAGGTCTGGCAGAACGATGCCAAGTTCGCTGTGCCGTTGTGGAGCCAGCAAATACTCCACAGCAATACGTTCACCTGCTATAAAGAATCATTATAAGGAACAAAACATAATTTAATTCAGAATTGACAGGTTGCCACTGTAATGGGTGAGAGAAGACAGGTGAAGGTTTATTTGTTGAATTTATAAAAGTGTAGTCACAAGGCAAATGCTGTCTCCTGGAGTATCTTAGTAATTAGTATCTGGGAGTGGGTCTCCCAGGGGGAATAAATTCTGAAATGAGTGCACGGCCAAGGACACTGTTGCTGAGGGCACTGACGTTGGACATCAGACGGACATCATAGATTCTTGTGTGTGACGTTTCACTCACACCCACAGCTTCATGGGCTCGGTTCATGTTCCACCTGGATCCACCCTCAAGCATGTACATCTGTGTGTGCATGGCATTAAATCTCCATCCTTGAAAACCCCCCACAAATGATTATTGAAATATTAGTTTTTTATCTCTTCTTAGACACAAGACATACCAGAAAATTATAACATAGATTGATAAGATATTTCCTGCTGCTTTGTGGGGATTGACCTGTCTGCTTTGTCCTTGTACTTTGTTTCTCACAGGACAACAGAAAGGCTGTACATTTAAACAATGTTTTTTTTATAGATCTTCCTCCGGGCCAGTGGGACTTTGTAACGTTTACCTGATGGCAGTGACTGAAAGGACTGGTGAAGGGGGTGATGGGGGTCCTGCTTAATCAAAGAGGCTATCCTGATTACGGCCCAGGTATACAGTTCAGATAGGGGGTTTGAGGTGAACAATTATTATGCTGGCCTGATTAGTTATGTTTATGTTATGTGTTATGAATTTGATGGTGAGGGCGTTGTACCAAAATTATATTTTTATCACATTTTATCATATAGAATTTCTACTTACCTGGGATAAAGGTGCACTGGTGGCGATGAAAGCTTTCCACAGAAGACGACCCTCTGTCAAATCTGAACACATCCAGGACCTTGTCTCCCTTTTGTGACCCAGAGCCAAGTTTGATGTAGAGTTCAACACCAGGTGGATCTTGGATGCATGGCAAGTGCTTCTGTTGCACCTCCTACACATGTCATGCTCTCAGGGTTGATCAGGCGTAAACCTCATGTGTCAGTCAGTGCCCACATGGAGTTCAGCAATCCTTGGATCAGGCTGTGTGTTTCCTCAACCCCATGAGTTCTCCTTTTGCAGTGCTTGGCAAGTTCACTGGAGCTGATGTTGGCCAGAACTTGCGCTTCCGTGGGAGCATGACCACCATGCTTTTTCTTAAGCTCTGACCTCTTGGCATCCTTGAGACGAGAGATGTCATCCTGGTCCCACTCAAAGATACAGCTTGACAACTTGGAGCAGAAGGTGCCATATATTTGATTTGATTTGATATCTTTATTTTGAACATGTAAATAAATAAAAAAATCAATTAAACAAAAAATAGTGGTAAAAAACAAATGAACAACAAAGAAAAACTCCATACTTTCCAGTACTTAAAAAACTCTATTTACATGTGAAAAAAGGAGTAAGAAGAAGTAAAACTTATGTACTCATACCCCTTTATACCCTTACTACCATATTTAAGGAAATAACTCAAAATTAAAGCTGCAAGCAGCGTTGGGCGGGCCCTCGCACTTGTAGCGCGTCCGGGTGTGAGCCGGCCGAGTTGCATACTCTCGAGCTCTGCCGGTGCGGCTGTGAATTTGCTACGCGGTTCCGACGCCGCATGAAGGTGTTATATGTCACTTCCTGTGTCCACTATGTGGAACTACATAGCACTTGCCGATATGAATAAAAATCGGTATTGGTGTGTAAATGTCTGCGGGGTGGGAGAGTTATCAAGCACGTAAAGTTTGTTTCAGATGTGAGCATGTACACTGAACAATAATGTACCCAAACAATAAAATAAATTCCTTTTATATTTCCCTGCCTTGTTGTTTATGTGTACATACAGAGGAAGAATGTGAGAACAGCGCACATTTCATCGTTTCTTTGTGTTAGAGCATGGGAGAACAGTGGATACATTTAATACAGCCCACACCCCTAATACTGTGTAACTATAACAAGTAGAGAACAGAAGAAAAAGATGTTCTTTCTTTACAACTGTCTGCATAGCTTATTCATATTGTGTAATGAATGAAAATAAATAGGCCTACTAGGTCCTCTCTACTTTGACATTTAAGATTAGCTTGTTTGATCCACCTTCATACACATGTGACATTACTGTACAACTTGAGAAAGGTGAGTTGTTTTCTGCTCAGGCCTGCCTAAAAAAAAAGCGTTTTTGGGATTAAATGGACTTTATTAGCTGCTGCAGTACAGGATGAACTCAGAACAGACCCATTTCTCACCTTATTATTCTAAATCATGCAACAAAGAAGAAGAAATGCATAATAAATCCTGGGACAAAATCTGTCCACAGCATGTAGTCTGATGAACAAGACTTGTGTTATAGCTGACTTGGGCAGTGAAATGTTAAATTTTTTAATTCATGTGGTCATAGTTGTCCACAACTCAAATCAGAATATAAGAAGAAATGTTTTATACCACCTCAAGAAGGCTTCCTATCAGAAAGGTAGGAAGGTATTTCAAATGTACAACTGCAGTACTTAAATCTAAGTAATTTCCCGGACATTTTTGTGTTACTTTACTTTTAATAGACCCATGTAAGAGGTTTTATACTTCCTGTGAGTATAATCCAATCAATCTTATTTTCATACTGTATGTCCGTTGTGTAATTTGATAAATTGTGTTGTATGTCGTGCTTGCATCTCAGAGAAGACTCTGACTGCAACGTGCGTCTTTGTAAAGAGAGAAACGGACAGAAAAAGTCTCTAACTCTGCCTGTCAGCTCGCTCTGCTCCGTTAAAACTGAATTTACCATACAGAATTGAATACGAGTGCACTCCAGATTTAGCTGCAGCCAGCTGACCGTGTGCTTCTCCCTATACCGCAGTTCTGTGTCCATGCATGCAGCAAACTGAAAGCACTGTCTGTCGGAGCGTCTACGTGAAAAGAGAAGGAATACATTGCTGGTAGTGTCTTCAGAGTTGTTAAACACCTCAGTGCACTGAAGGAAGCCATCTGACGTGTGAGGGGCAAGATCGTTGATGTCTGCAGACAGAGTAGGAGCTCTCCTGTCTGACTGGTCCACCAATAGCAGAGAAGATGACCCCTTGAGTTATCAAGCACGT